AGGCTCCACATCCCAGTCCCTGGAGCAGAGGTTTCCCTACCTGTGCTGTTTTGGAAGAAGACGCTGACGCTGAGGTTCTGAGGAGGATCTGGAAGGGAAGAAGGGGCCCTGGCCTCAGGGGTGAGGAACAGCACGCACGTGGGCACCTGGGATACCTGAGGAAGCAGCCGTGTCCTTCTGACCCACCCCACGCCCGCACTCCCACGCTCAGATCCACGCAGACACTCCCTAGGTGACTGTAACAGGCACATGTACAAGATGAGCACACGGGCACACACCTGCACACACGTGTACAATCCCGTGCAGGCACACCGCCCCCACTGCCCCTGGGAGCACAGGCCTGCCCCCGCCCAGCACTCACAGGAGACATTGAGCTGCACGGTTCTCTCCGTGGTCACCTGACTGCCGAGGTACTGCACCCGACAGGTGAGGTTGGTGCCGTGGTCCTGGGGCCTCGGTGTGAGGAGCAACAAGGAGGACCATGCCCTCCAGGGAGTCTGAGAGTCAAGGGCACTGCCCTTCCAGGAGAAGCTGAGAGTTCTCCCCTGTGGGCAGTGTCCTGGCAGGCTGCAGTGCAGCTGTGTGGTGTGGCCAGACTGCAGGGTTGCCGGGAGCTGGATGTGGGGCTTCTCTGTGAGGGCTGAGGACAGAGGCAGGAGGCTCAGGTCCAGGTGTGGGGGACCCAGGGTCCATGGAGACCCTTAGAGTGACCAGGGCCCCATGCCCCATGCAGACCCCCGATATCCTACCTCCCTACTCACCACCTGCCCACTCTGTCCCCATCCTAACACACGGTGTCCATCCCAGACCCTCTCCCCCCAGGAACCCAGCCGCACCTGTCACATTCAGAGACAGCTTATTCCAGATGTAGTTGTATTTGACATTGCTTCCCTTCTCCACTCGGAAGAAGTACCTCCCTGTGTCCTCCCTCCTGGCATCTGTGATGCTCAGGGAACAGTTGTTGGTGCTGAGGTCCCTGGGGACGTGGAACCGGCCCTTCGTCTCAGGCCTTACTGGCCAATCTGGCTTGTTGGTGGCCACAGGAGCTTGAGTGTAGACATTGTCCCCGTCTCGGAACCAGAAGAGAAAAGGCTCGGCAGGGCTTGTCAAATAAGTCCTGATCTCAGGGTAGGAGAAGGAGCAGGGCACGAGGACACACAGACCCTCCTGCACTGTCACCGACTCCTGCACCTGCAGCTCATAGCCTGGTTTCTGCTGCAGGGACCCTGGACAGGGGCCGGGAAGAGGGGACACAGAGACTCAGTCACAGCGCTGCCCCACCACAGCCTCCCTGTCCCCCATTGCCCAGTGAGCCCCTTACCCTCCCGCAGCAGGGACAGTAGCAGCAGCAGCAGCGGCAGCATTGAGTCGGGGTTCTGGTCTCACTCTAGGCAAAGAAATGTCTCAAATGTGAGGTGTGGCCAAGTGAGAGCAACAGGAAGCTGCTGGGTGAGTGTGGGCCTGGGCCATGCCAAAGGGGAACTTGGGTGCTGCATGGGCCTGGGCGGCTTGTTGGGGGCAGGGAGATGGTATTCCTGCTGTCCCCAGCAGACATGGCAGAGACAGAGTGTGGGTGGTGCAAGTGTGGATGGAGGGTCTAGAGGCCTGGAGCTTCTCCTCGGGTAGAGCTGCTGAGTCACGTTCAGATACACATGCAGCAGCCAGGGCGTGTGCAGACAGAATGGGACAGAGAAACGGGGAGCAGGCTAGCGACGTGCAGGGGAGGGGCAGCTGCAAGCACCTTCCAATATACCCCTCTGAACCCTGGAACTTGGAGCTGCCTTAGAAATGCAGGCTAGAGGGAGCTGGATGAGGGGAGTGTGGGCCCTGCAAGAGGATCTACCTGCCTCGGTCTTGGGGTTTCATGTAGGTCCGCTGGGACAGCCATGTGCTCAGTCCACTTGGGCTGGGCTGTTTCAAGGGAGGAAGTGACCCCTCCCACTGGGGTTTCCCTGAAGGCTGCAGAAGCCACATGGTCCCTGCGGAGCTCAGCATCGGTGGAACCAACATGCCAGGAGTCCCCAGCAATCGGTGCAAAAACCTGGGCTCTGCAGCACCCCACCTCTGATTTAACCAGGAACATGCCAACATTCAGAGCTTCTTGACAACAGGTTCTAGAAGCAGGGCCTTCAGAAACTCAGGACAAAGTGCAATCCTGGTCTACAGTGCTCACAGACGCTGGCTTGGCTGTGTCCTCTGTCTACAGAAATCAGCTACAATTACTCTCGTGGGAGAGGCTCATGCGAGAATACCAACCCAGCATCTGGAGGAGGGCATGCGGGTGGAGTGGGCAGGCAGGCTGTACCCAGTCTAAAGGCAGCGTGTCATTGTCCCGTGTCATCTTCTGCCGGCTCACTTAGCAGTGTGGTGATCCTGCGACTTGCTGCCATGTGCCTTTGCTTCCAAAGAAAAGGGCCCGTGTGCAAAGATGAGTGTGCCCTCGGCCGGACTGTAGGCAGAATTCTCTCCTGAGCTCTGTCTGTCCTGCTCCACCCAGGGCTGTTCAGCAGGAGTCTGACGTTGGTAGAGTGAACACTCCGGGTCTACCTGCTGTGTGCTGAAGAGCTTTCCCACATACACTGCGCCACAGTCTTTGGCTGTCAGTCTCTCCACTCTTTGCCGTGTTCAGAGTAGAGTCCTCTTCTCCCTGCCTCTATTGCCCATGCATGCACACTGTGTTGGGAGGGAGAGAAGAGAGCTAGAGGCAGCCAGAAACCGCCAGACGTGGGCAGACGGAAGAGGAGATGTCTCCATCACCTCCTCCAGGGAAGCCACACCCCAGGGGCAGCTGCCAGCTGGGCTCATGTCACCAAGGGCACAAGGCTCCTTTGAGCGACAGGGAACACTCCAGAGTGACCAACAGCCAGGGCCAAGAGGAGACCCTCTTCACTGGCAACATAGTTACGGAGTTGATTTTAGAGACAGGAGTGTGTGTGTTTGCTGAAACATGTAACATGATTGCTTCAACGTTGCATCTCTTGTTGTATGTGTGCTGCATCTGTGGGTGCACAGCAGCAGGAAGCTGCAAGCTCCAGTGCAGCCCTGCCTTGAACCCAGGAAGGGATGGGCGCATGTCAAACGCAGGATCAGGCAAACACACAGCCTCCTTCCTGGAATGAGAGTCACGGGACATGCAGTGAGCAGCGGGGATGTCGGCTGGAGAGCTGCTCTGGGTACGGATGACGTGGTGACGTACTGCTGATTCCTCTGTCACCTGAGACGGGGACGACTCAACCACCCACCCAACATCCTGGGGTCTACTCGCCTAGCACACCCAACACCCCGGAGTCTGGGTGGTTTACGCCTGTGCTCAGGCAGGCACCCAACCAGCAGCTGGCTCCACGGCACAGCTGAGCACCCTGAGAAAAGACAGAAGTTCCGAGTTGGAAAGCTGCACCCACAGGCTGTGGCTTTCACGCCATGCTGCAGCAGAAACATCCAGGACTAAACTAGTGTAAGTCAGGATCCTCGTGTCAGCAGGATGAGGTGAAGAGGAAAGTGAGATGGAGCTGGGTCCTAAAGTGACATGAACCGTGAGGTTCCCCTCGGGGAGGAGTCAGTGCCAAGAGTCCTTTGCTCAGTGCACTGAGTGAAGGCAGGTGGAGTTGGTTTCTGGGCCGTGACACCGTGGGAAGGAGGTGACAGAGCCAGAGAGAGGCTTGGTGCGATGGGACAGGACGGGAGTTTGTACCAGATGGCGTTGACCAGTCATGCTAACTGACATCCAATTCCACTGTGCCCAAACTTCCAGCCAGGACAGCTGCAGAAAACATACTTGCTTCACAAAATATATCTTTATATTTATTTGAAATGCAGAATTGTTATAGAGATGCAGAGAGAGAGAGAGAGGGAGAGATGGATCAGTCAATCTTCCTTCCACCTGCTAACTCCTCAAATTGTTGCAACAGTCAGCATTGGGCCCATCCCATACCAGGAGCCAGGAGGCAGGAGCATCTTCTGGGTCTCCCACATGGGTGCAGGGTTCCCAGTACTTGGACCATTCTCCACTGCTTTCCCAGACCACAAGCAGGGAGGGAGCTGGATCTAATGGGGAACATCCAGGACTCAACCAATGCTTTCTAGGAGGTGGTAACGCAGGTGCAGCTGAGCCTGCTCCATCACAGGCAGGGAACCTCAGCATACCCTCCTCGCTAAAGTCCTCGGAAGTCCATGCAAACCAAGTCCTCACTCTGTCCCACTGTGATGCCTTCGCAGCTCTGGGTCCTCTGCCATTGTCAGGCACGCAGGAGTCAGAATGTGAACAAAATGCACGAACGAGGCCAACAGGGTCACACAGGAAAAGAGAAAATCTATGGCTAAGGACTTGGGAGATATCGGCCTGGTCAGGGAATGCTGGGCAAAGCTGAAACTAGAGAGGAGAGCCCGGCAGTGATGGGTATCCTGTGTGAGCCATGGAGGCAGGAAGGACGTGGACACAGCTAGGGAGGGGTCCAGGCACCAGCTGTGAGGACCAGGCTGTGCGTCCATCAAGGGCCCAGGGTGTGGGAGAATCCATCACTGTGGCTCTGTCAGCCTGCCACCCTCCCCAAGCCGGGTCACCATGGACACATTCTCTACTGAACATCCACGGGGTCATGCGGACACCACAGCCTGCGTGCAAACATGCCCAGATGTCCTTGAGGTCTACAAGGATCCGCAGGGGCCTTCAAGAGTAACATCTGTTCCCGGGCGGTCCTGTGTCTTCCATGTGGAGATGCCCTTGGTCGTGTTTCACAGTCGCAGCTCCAGGTGGAGGGAGCAGCCAGGCTTGCAATGCGCAGTGCATCCGGGTCTCGGGGATGGGTCATTTCTGGCCTCCCCTGTCCTTCCATGGTCAACAAGGCAAGCTCTCAGGTGTGGGGGACCTGAAGCATGCAGCCCAGTCACATGTTGGAGCAGGTGGTGGGGAGGGATGAGAAGGGCAGCAGGTGAAGCTGGGATGGGGCAGGACGTGCCGGGCTTGGTGGATTAAGGACAGGGAAGGAGGCAGGCAGGAAAGAGTCGCAGAGAGCTGCCTCCAGGGAGAGGCTAGCGTGACATGGCCGCGGCTGTGGCTCTGGGTGCCCCGTGCTCATCTCGGTGTCGAGGCGTGAAGCTGGGGGCCTCCGCACCTACAGGGCCAGCACAAGCCTCAGGTCAGAGTGGATTCAGGGGCTCCCAGGCCAGGCAGTGCCGGGCAGCTGAGCCCCTGGAGCTTACCTGGTGTAGTAGAGCCACGTGAGGCCATAGGTGAGAAGGAAGCCGGCTGCCATGAGGGACCCTCTGATCAGGGTGAGCACCAGGGGCCAGGA